TAGCGGAGCAAATATGCAGTCGCTGACCAGCCCGGGCCATATTACGACGACCAGCTTGCCACCCCAAATCAGCAATATTATCCAAGGGCAGCTGATGCAGCAGCAGCAGCAAGTGCTTCAAGGGCAGCAGCTGGGTAGACCCATTGGCTATGACAGGACTTCTGGGGGATTGATAGCGGGAGTTGGAGGAGCTGGCGCCTTTGGAATGACATCACCACCTCCTCCCACGAGTCCTTCCCGGGCCACGGTACCGCAGGGGCTCTCCAGTCTTCCGCTCGCTCCTACGGTTAATACGGCAGTGAAAAAACAACCCAAAAAACTGGAGGAGATTCCTCCTGCCAACCAAGAGACTGCTCAAATGAGAAAACAGTGTTTGGATCATCACCACAAACAGATGGAAATTCTTAGGGAAACTTTTAAGGAATGTTTGATTGAACTGTTTTTCCTACAACATCTTCAAGGGAATATGATGGACTTTTTAGCTTTTAAGAAGAAGCATTGTGTTCCACTGCAAGCGTACCTGAGGCAAAATGACCTGGATCTGGAAGAGGAAGAGGAGGAAGAACAATCTGAGGTCATCAATGATGAGGTAAGACATCTGTTGGTTACTGTTTTGGAATAAAATTGTAGATGAAGTCGTGGCACCTGGATTGTGAAGTGTTAGAGAATGGGACAGTATCTGAAAAATCATTTTGACTTGATGAAGTACGGCAGCTTTTCTTTCAGCAGCTGGCCTGAGGGAATGCAGTTCTGCTGGGTAGTGTGGTTCAACAGGTCAGCTTGAGCGTGCCGTTAGATGGATGTACTTAAAGGAAAAGAGCAGAGAGGTGAAAGGAGCTTTCCCTGTCCTAGCTAGTGTGTCAGCCAGCACACGAGTAAAGATGGCATTGGTGTGGAAGCTGTTTTAAGCTATCAGAATGAATATGAGTAGGAATCAGATAAAATTTCACTTACTAGACTTGCACAAACCAGAAACTAATGAGCTGAAAGGCTTATAAAAGGTTAACCTTTATTTGACTCATACAACTTCTAACCGTAGATATTAAAGTTGTTGCTGTGGCCAACAAAGAATGTGAATTAATCTAATTACTCAGAGAGAACATGTGAATTGTAGTGGATATGGGTCCATAGTAAGGAGCCAGGTTCCTCAGGCAGTCCCAGAGCTCTGTGCCTGTCTTGCTGTCTAAATGATGAAACAAATAGCACCTATAGACTGGACATTAAGAAGTTAACTTTGTTATTTAACTCACTTGAATTCACTGTTATTAATGGCAAAGGACTTGAAGTGTGCTTGCCACAGGTGCTGTGCAGCTTTTCCTGCACGTTCATACCCATTTGTGGAGCTCTGGACCTGCAACATCTGGTGGGTGCTGGAGCAGTGCCTGTCTTGTGCAGAGAGAGCCCACCTGCAAGCCTACCATGACAAAGTGGTTGCAACAGGGTAGATCACTCATAAATACCTTTTCAAATTTGCAAAAATATGGGTACATAGCTGCCAGTTTGTAAAGAACCAACAAAACCTCTAATGTGAAGAAACTTGTATTGCTTTGAAATTTCTATTAGGAATTAGTGTCTTCATTGGAAACTGATGACTCTCTTAGGTGTGAGTCATTAGTGATTGTATCTTCAGTTGGAATTTGTGGCAAATTTTAACAGTATAATAGATGAAGTTTAATTTGTTCCTTGCTTTATGGTCTAAACTTCTTGATTAGGAAGAATGTGTTTCTGCTTGGCATAGTTATTGATAATTTTGAAAGAATCATTTCTTTCTGTATAGATTAAGTTAAAAGTTAGCGTGTTATAGTAATTTATTAACAATAGATATACAACAGATATACAATATTTTTTTCACCTAGTTTGTATTTTGTCAAATTGTTTAGGTGACCTTGTTGGGTTGCGTGTTTGTCAGCTGACATACCAGGTATTTTTAACCCACATTTTGAGAGCTCTTTGGGTGTAAATTGTGTAGGTTGACTGAAGTCAGGGGTACTACTACAGCTGACATGAGTTGAGGCTCTACCTCTTGGTCTTTTGGGTCTGGGATTTGCTGAACTTCACCTTCTGTGGTGGAACATCTTCTGTTTGTGAAAGCTGCTTGTGCGTTTAACTGCTGGAGAGTTTTGCCTTGTGCAACAGCTGAAGTCTTTCTGTGTTTTCAAATGATGAATCCTTTTGAAAGATTTAAGACATCTTTTGAGTATGTTCTTTCTTTGTATTTTTTTGTCTTCTCTTTTATTTCCCCCTCCCCCTTCTTTACCACTTTCTGCTAAAGCAACGCGCTTCATCCCTTGCCTGGAAAGGTTGAGCACTTTGGGGACTCAAGGGGAGAGCGAATGGTGGCTGTGCTCATGGCTTAAATAAATGTTGGAGCTCTCTTAAGTTCAAACTGTCTGTCATGCTAATTTGTTGTCCGTTAGGAGCAGCAATCATTAAATTTAAAACACACTCTTCTGCTAACTGAATTTACGAGAAGGTTTCCAGTGATGAGAAGTGACTATGACTAGTCAAGGCTGTATCCTGTTCTGCTATTAAAAGTGAGACAGAACTCTCCTGAACAGCCTGGGCTCAAACCAAGCTGCACTGGTGGTGGTTTAGTTACCATCCCCTCTTCAGTGAGGTGCCATCGGTGCAAAACGAGTGTGTTGAACAGTTCAAAAAAGAAAAAGAAAAAAACAAAAACTTTTAAAAAGAAAATGATTCTCCCTTCTTTGTTTTTTTCCCAAAATATTTCTCTCAGGTAAAGGTTGTGACAGGAAAGGATGGGCAGACTGGTACTCCTGTCGCTATAGCAACCCAGCTTCCTCCAAATGTTTCTGCTGCTTTTTCATCCCAGCAGCAACCATTTCAGGTACTTTTCAATGGTTCTAAAATGTAGTTTCATCCCAGATTTTTTTTCTTCATTCAGATTTGATATTTCTTAGCTGAATTAGAATTTTCCCAAGAGCCCATCCCTTATCATCTGAACAAAACAAAAAAAGAAAACCCTTTGCAATCTTTGAATGCATCAGTATTAATGAAGCCTTGAGGAAGTTAAATCTTTGTCTCCAGGTTGCTGGCTTATTTCATTAACTTTCAGCTTGAATGTTTTCACTTTGGTTTGTTTGTCTTTTGTTTCCCTAATGCATTTGGTTCATTTGTGCATTCTGCATAGTGATAATATGGTTTCTTTTGTCTGTGGCGTTGTAATTGTGGATTTCTTCTAAATTTCTTTTCTTTTTTTCCCTTATCTATTAAAGGTTTTGAGTATGGCTACAGAAGGTTTTGGATTTGCCTTCCCTGAAATGTTTTAAACAACACTAATAACTCTCTGACATAATTTTTTTTAAAATAACTAACTGCTTTCCATTAGCTCTGCCTTAAATGTTGGGAAGAAGACACTGAAGTGCTTGTTTTTATTATATAAGTCCTTTTTTACTTATTTTTTTTTCCATGAGGGAATACTGAACAAAATAAAGAAATATATGTGATATTCAGTTAACGTTTTTGTGGATCAGTGGTGATATAACTTTTAAATTCAGGCTAGGATGGGTTTATGCAGCTACTTTCAAGTCTGTGTTACCCAGACATCATTGCTTACGTACCTTGAGAAGTAATATACCCAAATTCCTCTGCAACTGAAATATTTGCCTTCTAGCTCCATTATATGTGCTTAGGAGATGTTAGGGGGTGAATTCCTCTGCTGTACCAAGGAAGCTGTACAGGCTGTGCTGCCTTCATCTAGGTTTTGGAAAAAGGAGAGTTAAATGAAACGTAAAGTGGGTTGTGTCCCTGTGCCTAGCAAAAGGGATGTTCACTGGGATAGGTTACAAATGAGTTGCACAGTGAAGGGGCTTGACCTGGGAGCTCTTCACTGTGGCCAGTACTGGCATGTCTTCAAAGTCTCCTTAGGTAGCCAGGCTTCATCTGAGCTGTTTAAAGTCTGTAATATTGTATCAGGTTATTTATTAGAGAGGTTAGGTTAGCATCAAGCTAACTACAGCAGTGATGAAGTGCTTTGAAAGTCTCTTACCATTTCAGACCTGTGTCAGAGGAACTAGCAGGTACATGCTAAAAATGTGCAAAACTGTAATTGTGATACTACATTTTAGCACAATCTGTTAACAGAAAGTATTACCTCTTTCCATCAGCCTTTCTCTTTGTAACTGTTTATAGAGAAATAATGTGTCCCAGTCAGCAACATCATTTAAATTTAAGTGCATAAGTGCAGCACTCAGAATGATTGTTGTGGGTGTGCTGCATAATCATGACCTCTGGAGGACTACATTGCTTTAATTAAAGTTAGGAGAGTTTTAGTCTAATATTAGTGGTGTGTGACTGCAATTTATAAAGACATCCCTGCCCTTTGAAGCATCTGGCCCAAATTACGTGATGATAATGCAGACAGCTGGGAGGCACACTCCTAAGGAATTGTCAGGCAGGAATCCTAAGGTAGAGAAGCAGCCTGAAACTGTGAGAGGGAATCACCCAGAGTAAGAGATCATCAGGCTGAGGGATCAGGTAAATAAATGGCATTTGAAGCAGAGTGTGGGGAACATGCTTTCTTAAACTGATGTCCCAGGAAGCACTTGAAGCAAACTGGACATAAGATGAGTTTATTAATTAACTCAGGACTATTGTACAAAACAGGTTTTTGTGGCTTATTTTGAAAATTCTGTAAATGTTTGTGATGCTCTGGCAGACACTGGCTGTTGGATGTGAATACACTGCATGGCTGCCTTGTGAGGAGAGAAACGTTTGAAAACTTAATCCATGCTGAATGTGAGATGGAGTGGACCATGATGATTAGGGATGAGTATGAGTCAGATTCTTAAAACCAAAATTCATCTCTTAAGGCTATAGCTATATTTAGAGTGGTCACAAATGCCCTCACGGCAGCAAAGAGATTAAATGTTATTAATTCTTAGCTATTGATAGAATCTGAGTGACATGGGTTATATTCAGCTCAAAAAGGGGTGTTTGAAAGCCTGTCATGGTAGATGACAGTTATGTTTATTAATAACATTTGATGAATTGGTTTATTTCAATATAGACTGGTGTTTACTTCCTTAGGCTTGATTTACGTTGGTAGAATTTCTGTTAAAAATCATTGAAGAAAAGACTTGTGAATAAACTAGAAGATTCTTTTGGGAAATTGCTGGTTTTGCTATGTGGTTTTTTTTTTTTTTTGCAAACCCCTACTGTAGTTCAATATGGCAATATTGATCTACATTTGCAAACTCCTACTGTAGATCAATATGGCAATATTGATCTACATTTGCAAACTCCTACTGTAGATCAATATGGCAAAGGCTCTCACTGTCAGAAAGTTGTAGTGGGAGCAACTGAGTGCTACATGAACTCGTTTTCTAGGATGCAGAGGCTGCCATACCTAAAGTCTGTGCTTGTAATTTTGGACACAATCACTTAAGACCTTTCTTGGGGTAGCCCTTATTTTTCTTATATTAAGTTTCATAGCAGAATATTTGTTATATAAATATTGAGGCTAAATATTGAGGGGAATTTAAAAATATGACTTGGAAACTCACTGGAAGGAATTTGGCTTCCACAAACACCCAAAGAACACAGAAATCATCATATACCCAAAGCTGTTTGCCTCAATGATCTGATACCCGAGTCTGACATCTGAGTTTGATGCTGAAGGTATCATGTGGGATATATTTTCTGCCATCATTGCCAATACTAAATGTAGTAATTTAAAAATAAAGTTCTAACATGCTGTGTAATGTCACTGAAGCTGAACTGCAACTTGCTCAATCAAACCCTGGTGATTTCTTCTGCATCTCAATATCAGTAGTGCTCTTCCAGGCTTGTTAATTCAGATTTGTGTGATGTTTAACTTCAGACAAAATATCCAGCAATTTGTGATGAGCTCTGATGTCACATTAGCCTTAGAGGCAATGCTGTGTTTCTCCTCATTGTGTTCCTTCATGGTACTCACTTTGCTCGTGGAGCTGGATCCTGAGACTGACAGTGGTGGAGACTGAAGAAAGCTTAAACTGGCTTCAGGATGAGAGTTAATTCGTGTGTCACTGATGTTTCACACTGAGCAGAGAGGATTAGCTTTCAGCAATGTATGGACTCTCATTCCTTACTTTTGTGTCTTACTGGTCATGATATGCTTTATGCATAAATTCTCTTACCTCATCTGATTTCACTTCTAATTAACCTTATAATGAAGTCACATTTAATTTTTGTCCTGTCAGCTTTTTATTGCAGCTATATACTGTATGAGTACATAATTTTTGACTTCATTGTAGCATTATGCAAATCATGAATGCTGATACACTAATGACAATTTCTACTTATTTAACAAACAAAAAAAAAAGAATATTGGGCAAGTTTATTTTGTATTCCTTTCTCTTGGGTTTGGTATCACTTTTTGAAAAATGTAGACTTGTATCAGATATAAGCAACTTCATCAGTTTAGCTACTGTTTTAAAATTTAAACTCGACGAAGAGCATCTGTACGTAATGGACACCTAAAACTTGTAGCAGATATGGGATGAGTCTTGTTTTCTTCCTTGTGCAGCCATTGTGGAGGTTTTGTTCTGTGCTGGCCTCTTTAGAGCCGTTTGTAAGTTACACCCTGGTGGCAGAGTATCTACAGATTGAATGTTTGTGATTTGTTTTCTTTTTCCAATAGCAAACCCATACAGGGACTGCAGTAACGGGGACTGTGAACACCATAGAGATTGAAGCTTTTAAGAGACAGCAGGCACTTGCACCAGCAGGTACGTTCTGCAGACAGAATTTCACTTTGGTTCTTTTTGTTTTTTTCCCAAACAGTTAATGGAGCCCACTGTTCTGTACCTCTTGAAATACAGTTTTGCCTCACCTCGGGAACTGCCAGATCCTCAGGACTATCTGTTGTGAATGGTGCTGTGTGAAGAGTGCACTCCACTCACAATATATAGGACTGGATTTGGCAGGCATGGAGACATTGTTAGGTTGATTGTTCTGGCTGAGAAGATTGGAGATGGCCAACTTGGAAGTTAAAGAGACACTGCCCGTGGAGCATGTTCTTCATAAATGCTACACATGTCTAGTAGTCGTAGCTTTCTGAGCTGATGTTGGAATCATGTGTAGTAGTTTGCTTTGTAAAATTAAACCCATTCCATTATACCATGCCATAAATGGAATTTGAATATCACAGATTCGTCTAAGAGACCACGAATTGAAGTGGGCCGTCATGGGATGGTTTTTCAGCACCCGGGTGTGGCTTCAGGAGTTCCTCTTCAACAGCTAATGCCAACGGCACAAGGTACTGTGTCACCACATGCCAACTGCACATTAATTTAACAAGGAGATGTTAGTGATGGGACTAGAAACTTGGGCTCTGGCCTTCCGAGATCCTAGTCCCACCACACACTTCTCCCTGTAAATTAATACTTGGTATGCAATGCCTGGTTTGTTTAAGGAGCTGAGTGACGGGCTCCAGAGGTGCATGTGGGCATGGAAATACGTCACAGGTGCTGATGCCAAATGTTTATGAAAAGGAAACCTCCTAGTTTGCAACACCATGACACATTTTTATTCATTAGTCATGCCAAGCTTTAGAATACGTTAGAGTCAATGTGTTAAGAACCAAGTACTATTCAGACTTGATGCTGTTATTTTAGATTAAGTTCCATTAGCTCACGGGTCATCTTTTTTTTTTTTTTTTTCCTCCATGTATAAGAAACTCAGAAGACATAATGACATGGTTTTTTATAGTTACTGTGCTCCAAATTTTAGTTGCAGTCCTGTGCATGAAATACTTTGTTGTTTATTGTAATGGTGATTTACTTTGTGGTTGTGATGTGGTATTTTCAAGTGATGGTGTCTTGTGGCAAAGTAAGTAACAAATTAGTCTGTTTGCAGCTGATTTCCTCTTCACATCAGTAAAGAACTTTGCACGTTTTGATTTCGTCTGTGCTCTTGCTTTGTAGGTGGAATGCCTCCCACTCCTCAAACTGTACAGCTGACTGGACAGAAACAGAGTCAACAACAGTATGACCCATCGAAAGGCCCTCCTGTGCAGAACGCAGCCAGTCTGCATACACCTCCACCCCAGCTGCCAGGGAGGCTGCAGCCTGTCACCACCCCCATGACATCTCTCCCAGCTGCACTGCAGCTGTCACAGCAGCAGCCACAGGTAGTGGAATCTCCGGCTCAGCCTCAGATTCAGGTGAAGATCCAGCCTCAAAGTGTACCCCTGACTTCAGCTCCACTTCCAGCACCACTTCAACAGCAGGTGCCGCCAGCAATCCACGTGCAAGGGCAGACGTCAAACCAAGTGTCACAGCCACAAGCTACAATACAGCAACAGGTATGTGAATGCTATTGGGGTGAAAATCTGTTTGTTTCAATGCCCAGGAAAATCATAAGAACATCTTCCTGAAAATATATGAAGAATGTTAATGTTTTTTTTTTAAAATTCCACTGGACACTTATATCCTTTCCTCATAAAAATGCAGGTGTGAAATTGAATAAAAAAATGTACATTATGTTCTGCTGTAGCGTGCCTTAAGAGTGTTGAATCCTGACCTCATCACTACTACATGTGTCTCTTGGGCAGACTGTGACTCTGACACGACCATCTGCAGATCCTGCTCAGACTTCCCAGCGTCTCACAGCAAACCCAGTCCCACCTACCTCATCCGTTGTGCCAGCAGCTGCCTCGGGCGCGACGCCGCCCTCCGCGTACCCGGCGCAGGCAAACAGGACCTCGCCAGCAACTAACAAGTCCCTGTCTCCTATTGCATCAAAACCCCCAGGCCTAGCAGTAGCAGCAGCAGCACCTAAAACACAAAGTCCAGCTCAGAATGCAGCAGTGTTACCACAGGACAACTCTCAAGACAAGCTTGCTGAGCAAGTAAAGCTGGTAAGATTTCAGTGGTTTTCCCCCAAACTTACGAACAGTTAACAGCCAGCCAGCAATTAGCCTCAGCAATGTGTGTCAGTTATGAAAATGTGTTGGTTTTTTTCATGGGGATGAGTTGTTTGTTGGTTTGGGTCTTCTTTAGTCTGCTTTACTTACTGAGTTTTGCTTCTGTGGGTGTTCAGAGAAGTTGCAGACTGCTTGATGGTCTTCATACTGCTGTTGTGTTCTTTCTGTTGTATTGTTTCTATCTACTCATTTGTGGTGACCGCAACCTTATTTTTATAGCTAGCTGGAGGTGTTGTTTTGCTTGTTTAACAGGAACATCATAGAGAACTTGTTTTTTCACAGACTCAAGTGTTATTAATAATGAAGGTGCATTCTTCAATTTATAGAAGAAAAAAGGATGATTTGATTGTGTTTGCATGTGTCTTGTAACTTGTTTTTAGTACTGCCCAGTTGAACAGTTTTTATCCCGTTATTTAACAAAGTACTTCTTGTTGTACAGGTTGAAGTACTAGGATTTTCTTTACCTGTCAGTTGTATTTAGTCTGGTAATTTTTTCATTGATGCAGTGTTCAGACTGGATTTCTGTAATGCACATTTTGTACTGTCAGATCTTTTTTTTCCTGTCAATTATTTTGATGAGGTGGGAGCAATTACTAGTTTACTATTTAGCTACTATTTTAGGTGCATTCTGCAGCATCATTGTAACAATATGTACTTCTTTTTAAGGAAAATCAAATCCATCAGCGGATAGCAGAGCTGAGGAAGGAAGGGTTATGGTCCCCGAGGCGACTGCCAAAACTGCAAGAGGCTCCAAGACCAAAATCTCACTGGGATTATTTGCTGGAAGAAATGCAATGGATGGCAACTGATTTTGCCCAAGAGAGAAAGTGGAAGATGGCAACTGCTAAGAAGGTACTTGAAAAACATTTATTTTTTTTTAACTAAGATCAGTAGATCTTGGTATCACTCAGCTTGGTACCAAAGCTGTTTAAATGATCTTTTTCTCCAGATAGAAGTGATGGGTATATAGTGCTTGCTGCAGGGTGGTTGGACTGGATGACCTTTAAAGGTTGCCTCCAAAGCAAATCAGTCTGAGTCTGTAAGGCAGCCATCTTTAATTTACATCAGAAGCCAGTTATTAGCTGTGGATATTCTAGCAGTTGAAACAAACTAGGTAATTGTATTGATTGTGGATGCAAATAGTAGTTTTGGATTTTGTGGATTTCATTCCTCCGGAAATCAAATAGCTTGTTTAGGGGACCAGTCAATATGCTCACTGTGTCATATTTAAAAAGTACAGCTGTCATGCCTCTTGCTGAAATCATTTATTCCCTCTCAATGAAGAGCCAATACAGAATTTTGTAAATAACTTCCACTGGGTGTGGTTGTCTGTCTAATTCTTCTTTCTTAATCTCAGAAAAAGATGAAGCAGAAACCATGGAGTTCTAAGGAGAGCAGTGGAAACATGATAGAGAACTGTTCCCACAAGGGAAGAGAGCAGCACAGTGGGAATAATTCAGTCAGTGATGGAATGAAAATTAGGGTCGTGTGAGATGAAATATGTAAAATCCGTTTATTTACAATAAGCAAGAATTTTCTATGGATTCTAGCAACGTTGCATCTTCTTTTGATGCTTTTATGATGAGTTTGGGGTAATGAAGTAAACCTTCAGAGCAACTGAAGGTTAATAGTTCAAATTGCTGTGTTGTTTTCTATAGCATATTCTGAAATGATGGAAACTCAGTAATTCTTCCTTATAAGCAAAGTATTGAAATGGGTGTATAATTTTGTAAAATAAAGATCTGCATTTCGAATATAATTTAGATCTGGGCTTGAAGCACTTAGTCCATTTGTGGCCAATGGTAAGTTTTTAAGAACAGGAGAAACAGGAAGGGCAAATATGAAGTGATCCTTTCCCTGGCAGTATGCTTGAAACTTCTGGAAGTCAGTGTTCTAGGGACCTCCTGAGGTAATGCTTGCAGTCCAGTCAGTCTTTAACAGCTGTTTACTGATCTTTCACTCATGTATGTACACTCTTGCACTCCTTTTTTCCTTTGGTCTCCGATATTTTATGGTGTGATTTCTATGACTTCATATGTCCTGTCTGAAAGAAAGTTTTCTTTTGTGTGTTTGCTGCCAATATTAAGTAGCTTTCTAATTTTTGATTGAAAGGAAGTAGTGAATTAAGAGTTTGCTGCTTGATTGCTTAGTTAGAGTTCTTGTATTTTCTTTTTTTCTTTGAGTTTCATGCCTGTAGTTTTACTGGCATGGTAAGAATTAGAAATACTAGAGGTAAGTGCCTTGTGTGTAGAGCTATGGCCAACACCTAGCTGCTCCGAACCTCTGTTAAGAAAAGCAAAGATGTGTGTTTTGAGGTGACCTAATTCAGCATCTCTCATGGTATTTAGATGGTAAGAACTGTGGCTCGTTACCATGAAGAAAAGAAACTTGATGAAGAGCGAGCTAAAAGGGAGGAACAAAACAAACTGAGGAGAATTGCTGCATCAATTGCTAGGGAAATAGAATACTTCTGGTCCAACATTGAACAGGTAAAGTACCAACTTCTTAATACTTATGCAAGTTGTGCTGGGTTTTTTTAACCTTCAGTAATTTATTTGTAAAATCTAAGTGCTTTATTAGACTTGATTTACATTTCAGGTTGTTGAAATAAAACTGCAGATTGAATTTCAAGAGAAAAGGAAAAAAGCTTTGAATTTAAAGCGAATTTCAAGGAAAGGTATTTGTACTCCATTTCATAAGAAGTCCAGTATAAATTCTGATGCTATTGTTCTACCTAATTTCTCTCAGTGAATTTTAATCTTGGTGATAAAATCATGAGATGCTAAGAGGCTATGAACAGATGTGAACTATGAATTACAGGTCTTGCTATGGTTTTATACTAGAATTTGATAATATTTCTTGGTTTATGTAGAATGTGTTTAAAAAATCTGTGTATAAACATAAAGTTGCTAAGTGATTAATGCATACATCAAGTATAATAATTTTCCAGGTAGGGATACAAAACTCCCAGAAGACTTTTTACTGGAAAAAGAAAGTGAAATGGTAAGTCTTTCTGTTTCTTAGAAACCCATCAAATTAGTTTGACTATCTGTATGAAAAATTTTTGATAAACATGAGATGTTTTCCTTAAATACATGGTGATTGATGATAAGCAGATTTCTGTGTAGTTGCTGACAATTGAACATGTACTTATCAGCATGTACACATTTTTTTCTGGTTATAAACTGCAAGTTTTAACAAGGGAGTGGATTGTGCTTGGTACATGTCTTTTAAAGGAAGAACTGATACTTTGTCAGTTGCTTTGCATCATTCATTCTAAGACTGGAAGACAGAAAATATGTACAAATTAGTTGCCAGACTTCATTTTGGACAGGGGTTTCATCTACTGTTCTGTGGGGCCTGAAAGCACGTTTTCAGCTGTTCAGTGGTGATTTGTCTACTGAAAGATGAAGGTGTATGTTACAGAATGGATCAAACTGAATGAAACTTAAAAATCTTTTGCCCTAGATGAAGTATGTGCTAGGGCTTCTTGGCTAAATCTGTGCAGTTGGAAAAAAAAATGGACGAGGGATTGTTCTGAGACCCTGAGCCATCTGGTGTGGCACAGCTGATGCCCACAAGCTGAAATGCTCCTCTTTCACCAAGCAGAATGCCTGCATCCCAATTCCCTGTTAGGAACAAGCTTTAGCATGTGTTAGCAGCCAGGCTGGCCTAGCACTGTCTGGGAGTGTTCATTTCCACAGGCTAAACCATACTGCAGAGTGTGCTGAGCAGCTGCGAGCAAACAGTTGTAAGCCTGTGCTGTATTCCTTTTTGATTGAATAGTGAAAATTTAGTCCTTGATTCCAACCAGGGTAAGAGTTTTGTGCCTCAATAATGTTTGTTGGGAAAGGACTGTACCTGCAGCTCTGTGCCACAGCCAGACCCCAGTCATTTGAAGCACCAACACTTGAAGTGGCTGATTGCACTGATTGCTACTTTCAGTGCAGGAGCAGAGTATCTGTTTTTGTGTGACAAGGAAAGTGCTAACAGGCATTAAGTGTCTACTAGCAAATGCTGTTTGACTGCAAGATTCTTTTTACTTCCTTAAAACAAACAAACAAACAAACAAAAAAACCCTCCCTAAATTGGTTTTCTATGATTTAAAATATTTTAATTATTTAATGCTAGGGTTCTTCATCATCTGGAAGAAAAAGAAAGGCAAGCACGTCTTTGACTGATGAGGAAGGTAGGTTGGTTTTCAGAATTGTGCATCTGTAACATGATACCCAACTTGGATATTAAAATCCTGAAACCACAGGTTTTCAGTCTGTTACTGCATGGATGCAATGCTTTTCACAAACCAAATACCAGCCTTCTTCCACTTCTTAGAGAGATCAGTCAATCAGATGGTAAATTTTCCTTAAAAGACCTTCAGTGAAAATTTGGAAGTAAAATTTTCCTTGAAAACACACTGCCATCGTTGTTTTTTTTTTTTCTTTCTGTCCTTATTCTCAAACCTTACTAGTGATTATATTTCTTTTGAGGATTTCAGTCAGCATGTCCCATCTACTTTAGTACCTTTCCTGTGATGATATCTGTGTCATGTTTCTGACAAAGAAAATTCCTAGTTTAAAGCTACAGAATAGCCTGTCTCTGGTGAGCCATTGTCAGCCAGCACTTAACAGTTCAAGACTGCCTTCTGTCCTGAGGCAGAAGTGTTTCTCTGCTTTTCTTTAAGTTCTATGTATAGCTACTTTCAGATTTTCTTGTTTTCCATGCATGTCTCATTTTTTTTTTGAACCCTGCTAACATAATATTCCATCCTAGTACAATTCAGGTTTATATAATTACAAACTCCCTATGAATTACTGTGTGATTTGATTCCAAGATTAACATTTGGTTTTGTTTTAGTTGAAGATGAAGAAGAAACAATTGAAGAACAAGAAGCTAAAGAAGGAAACGTAAACCATCAGACTGAGTTGTCTAATCTAGCCAAAGAAGGTAGGCACGGAGCTTGATTCTTCTGTGGTGGGTTCTGAAACAACAGATGAAAACATGCAGCAGTTACTCTGTACATAGAGTTATAGGTGAGAAGTTGAATGTGTTCAGATGTTCAGTAGTATGTAATCCATATTTATATTTTTCTGTTTGGAAAGGTGTCATTAGTTTATGGGGTGAGGATGGACATCTGTACTTTATAAAGTGGTCTGTATACTTCACTAATTATTACACAAGGTAGCTTGACAAAAAGTACTTCTCTACTGAAGCATTTCATTTCTTGGAAACCTCACACCAAAGGACTCAACCTAAGTTGTAGAAGTGCATGATAAATACCTAAAACCAGAAGTGTGGCGGGTCTAACATGAACATTTTATCTTGAGCTCTTTTGAGTGTCTCAAAAGGGTTTTGTGATCCACCTAAGTCTGAAAGGGCTCTGAAGTGCTGATCTTGAGGGGGCTGTAAATACTTAAGAATGAGGGGCTTTCAGGGACAGTGCTGTGGATGTCAGCTCTCTCATTAGCAACCTAACAATAACTGCTATGCTGAGCTTGATGTATGCAACGTATCCCCTAGGGATCCTTTCACTTCTTGTGGTGAAAACCTCACTGATTTTGAGAGGCAAGCTTCCCGTTACGCTAAGCCTGCCTGGCAGTTAATAGGCACTTCCCAAATCTGTCTGTTTGGCAGCTTAGTGGCTGCAGCCAGGTAGCCAGTTGGAGGGATTAGAACTCTTGGCCAGTCAGCCAAGTTCCTAATGAGGATGTTCCCTGATTGATTGGCCACTGCCAGCATGCACATTCCTGTGTCAATGGGCCAGAAAGGGATCATGGAGATGCTGTTGAGCAGGACTGAGGTACAGCTCAGTTTTGAAACTTTGAAGTCTTGAGTGTCTTCCAACCACTTGGCTGGATTTGATGCTCCTAGCTCCCCAACCAGTGATTTACTGTTGGTTTTTATGGTGGGTTGGTAATAAAGAGCAAGCTGGGTGAGCAAACACCTTGGTGTAAGGTCAAGTGTTGTCTGTAATTGAGGTCATTAAATAAATAGTGCCATCATCCACCTAATGGTTACCTGTTCAATTAATTTCTAATTAGAGAACTGGCTTTATACAGTTATGAAGAATGTTATGAGATTATAGACAATGGTATTGATTGCTACAAGTTTTGATGTTTTTAACCTTACATCCTTTAATGGCCTTCAGCTGAATTGCCTCTGGAAGATTTACTAAAGATGTATGAAGGTGCCTTTGCAGAAAATTTCCACTGGCCCCAGCCAAAGCCTGACAGTGAAGAGGATAGCAGTGAGGAAGGTAAATTACTTTTGTTCAGAAGAAGTTGTGCTGACTTCCAAGGTGTACTAAGTTAATGGGCTTTCCAGTTGTCTGTTAAAAGACAGTTTATACTAGGAGAAAACAAATATGGAGTGAATTACATTTAAAATCTTTCTTTTTTAAGTGAATAAGAATGTTATATACTTGAATGAATGGAAAGTACAGTGGCTTTCTTGCTAAGCATTTGGAATGATCATTACAAAAATAAGATTTATTTCTGTAATTACTAAATATTTTTGGATAATAGTCTGTGAAGAATATCTTGCTTTTTTTTTTAATTTCTCTGTTTATGGAAAGAGGGTAGTGTTTGCCTGTCTTAAGGTCGAGATGTGTGAGATTCTCAGGAACAATAGTGAGCCAAAGAAGAGCCTCTGTGTACTGAATTGATCAGCACACTTCACAGCTAGCTGTTACTACACAGTTGCCATCTGCTCTGTGCTAATGTGATGATAGAATTACACATTTGAGGATAGGTTTAAAGTAGTATGAGAGGACCCCTGTAGAAGCTGTGAAAAGCTAATGGTCATGTTAGCCTACCTAGTGTGAATGTCCAGAACATGTATTTGATCCTGAGCTTGTGCTATTTGCATTTTAGCTTGACTAGTCTGAAAAGCATAGAACTGTTTTTAAAAGTTAGCTTCCTCCTTTGAGACTCCTGTCTGGATTCCAGCCATCTCAATTCCTTTGTGTAATCACTACTTGATTTTAAATGCCAATGTGATTTTTCTCTTTTATAGAAATGGAAGATCATATCTCTGATAGGGAAAGCCCTCAGAAGGAAGTTGTCCTCATAGACTCACTTCTCAGCATTGACCAGTACAAGGGTATAGACAGATCAAGTCCTCCAAAGAAGCATATGCGAGACATAGCAGAAGTTGCTGCTGCAGCAGAGATGCTGTTACCTAAAGGCAGCTCTAGGATAACAACAGCGGTAAGGCTCCCTGTTTTCTGCTACTGTCTCCTTACTTTTACAGAAAAAATGCTTTTTTTCAAGAATTTGCAGTTTTTAGCAACAAACTACAATAAATATTTTCTTGTTACTGAGCTAAAGAATGGTTATGCTTTATGCCATGCTCTGTGAATTTGACTCAGACAAAAAAGTGTCAACTCATTCACATTGCAGATAAAATACAATACTCCATCACTGCTGTACGGGCCTCTCAGAGAATACCAGAAGATTGGGCTGGATTGGCTGGCAAAGCTCTACAGGAAGAATCTTAATGGCATTCTGGCAGACGAGGCTGGGCTTGGAAAAACAGTACAGATTATTGCCTTTTTTGCCCACTTGGCTTGTAATGAAGGTAAGTCCATTGGCCTAACACTTTTCTTTTAGACAGGTACTGGGCCAGCATTATCCTTGTGAGCCTAGGGTCACATTTTTTGACATTGAACCATATCAGACTTTAGTTAACGCACAGAGCAAGGTAATGTCAGAAAAACTTTTTTAGATTGTGTGACATAGGGGTGCCTTTGTAACAAGTAAACTGGTTTAAGAATATAAGTAAGATAAAGCTTGTTCTGGAGGTAGTATCTCTTATTCAAACAGTTGATGTAGTTAAGGGAAAAAGAGGTATTAGGTGCAAGAGAAGTACTTGAGGTCTGAAAAGTAGTAAAGAATAGATACCTCTGTTTGTTGTTATTGGATGATTAATATAGTGGACTGCCCATAAAAAATCAGGGGAGAATGTAAGCCAGAGGAACTGTCAGGAGTCTTTTTCTACTGTTAAATGCTATGTTTGCCTTTTTGTAGGTAATTGGGGCCCTCACCTTGTTGTTGTACGGAGCTGTAACATCCTGAAATGGGAGCTGGAATTGAAACGTTGGTGCCCGGGCTTGAAAATACTTCTCTATTTTGGCAGCCAAAGGGAACTTAGGGCAAAAAGACAGGTACTGTGTTTTAAAACTCCTACACTGGTGTATCTAGCATTTTAGATAGCAAGACCTTTAACCTGCATTTATCGATATGTTCCTTACATCCTCATGGGATATGAGAAGTTTTTAACACTACAGGTTGGTTTACAAAGAGAATCACACCTAACGGTTCTAGATTGTCAAAGGCATTTTTGGAACTCCTGGGTATTGAGCAATATATGTGATACTTCATCTGCTTTCTGAACTGACTATCATTCAAAGATCAAGGCTGTCTTTTGGAATGCTTTGGGTCATAGCATCTTTCTGTTTTAGTGAAGAAACAGCTGGTTGTAAGGTACTTGAGAGATCTGCCTTCACTTTTCTGTCTCATCTCTCTCCTTCCTTTTCTGTAGGAATGGACAGAACCCAACAGCTTCAATGTGTGTATCACTTCCTACAAACAGCTGTTCAAAGGCCACACAGCATTTATGAAAATGCGATGGAAATACTTAATAGTAGATGAGATGCAACAAATAAAGAACATGACTGAAAAACACTGGGAGGCACTTTTCAGTCTCCGCAGGTATGGGGCAGAGAATTGTTTTCCTGCTGGCAGTGGGTTTTTCACTCTTCATGTCACAGAGTTCTTCACAGAGAACTGATAGAAAACCTCTTGATTTGGTCTGCCAAAATTCCTTGCAACACGCACCTACAGAGGTTGCCTTTAAGTGAAATAATCAGGATTCAGTGACATGCTCAGGATCTTTTTGCTGCCACTGTTAGAACACTATAATTCTTTTTTGATACCCTGTGTTCCTAAACAGTTCCCCTTGCATGGTCTGATACTCTGCAATGAGGAAGCTAGTTTGTTGGTATATTCAGGATTAAAAAGATAACTCATCCGAGATTTAATTCTCTTAGTACTACTTATTTCTTTTGTGTATATGAAAAACCTACAGTACAGTAGAGAAAAAGTACAGTACAGTAGAGAAGAACCTACAGTACTGTAGTACCTACAGTACAGTAAAGAGTGTTTGAATATTGTTGTCCTTTTTGTAATGATACCAGCTAAATGCTTTATTGATTAAAAATCTCATTTTGTTATTCACAGCCAGCATCGTTTGCTTCTGATAGACACTCCGTTGCATAACACATTGATGGAGTTGTGGACCATGGTACATTTTCTGATCCCGGGAATTTCCAGACCTTATCTAGATTTTCCAGTAAAAGCAGCTAATGAGGAGAACCAGGATTATTGCCATAAACTGGTCATCAGGTTACACAGAGTATGTTGTCTTTTTTTCTCATCTGTCCTATTACAATAGTTAAGCTGTTCAGGGGAAAAAAAAAAAAAAAAAAAGACATAAAAAGTTGTGGTTCAGTTTGAAATTTCTAGCCTTTT